TGAAGGTAGATTTCCCGATTCATTTCCATACGACTCAAGTAAATCTCGCTATAGAAGAGGTGCTGTGAGTGCTGAACGTGCCGAAAAGGTGATGGAGGCGTTGAGGGTGATGAAAGAATACTGAGGTGCTGGGAGCTCCAAACCTGCACTTTCCCCCTTGATCAAATGTCTATTTAATATATTTTTATAAAATCATTCTAACTGACCACGAACAATAAATGAGAAGGATTGAGATATTTTCAAAAATGAATGTGATGAATAAATAGAAAAGGTATATCTTACATCAATGAAAATATTTATTTAAGATCGAAATAAATTAAATGAGCAATCGCCATCTCGAAAAGCAAAACTTATAAAATAAAAACACGATGAAAGTAAGCCTAATGGAAGAATTTTACACAAGAAAATAATTATGATAGAAATCAGCGCATTCGGAATTGTATTGAAGGAATTATTTTAGAATGTGCATCGTAAGTTTGATTATTAACTTATAATTTAGGACAAGTAATAAATATTTCACAAACCTTGATCAATCGACAAAGAAAGTAGAATATCAGGAATATCATTTTATTTGTATCTACTTATTCTAGGCTTTGTTTTTACCGAAAGTGCATTAACTGATTATTGAAAAAATATAAGGAGTAAAAGATTTTAATATTCAGATTGTAACGCAATCTCTTCTGGAATCCTTATATCGACCAGTCCTTGAGAAATAAGTACTATCTAGCCAAAAAATCAACAACAGGATTTTGCCCTTTCGTTTCGTATAAAAGTGCATGTATAAATAGTTCTTTTATTATAAAAAGTGATTAGTAACGAAAAGAAAAATTAATGATGTTGCTTTTTTTACATTTCAGATGGTGCATAGCCTTCGAATTTCTATTCTTTTCGAGTTAAAATGAATTGCAATCAGTACAATATGTGTCCTATGAATAAGGTCCTATATATGATTTAGTGGTTATCCCGAACTATGAAAGGAAATAGAAAATGAAAAGTCCCAA